TATACTCGGACAAAAAAAAAAAGTTAAAAAAAAAAAAAAATGGGCAGACTTGATGGATCACTCAGTCTTTTTCTCCCATCACTTTTCTATGTTTCTCTTATGTACATAAATTTACCAAGACCATGAATCTCAAAGTCACAGGATCTGCCCCGAACCCCATAAACACAAACCTCACCCCCTATTCTTCAGTATACAAGTAAACCTTTATAGCTGGCTCTTTCTCAGTGAACTTTAAAGTGGTTGTAAATCCTGAAGGATTTTTACTGTCAAGTATTCAATGCATAAAGGTAAAAAACCTTCAGTGTACAGCTGCCCCCCCTTTTATTTAACTAAACCCCATCTTGATCCAGTGATGTGCCTCTTGCCTGCTCTTTGGCTCAGACACAGTAGCTCCTGCTGCTGTCAATCAGTCAGTGAGGAGGATCAGGGGCAGATATGAGCCCCGCTCTGTGTGCCAATGGACACAAAGAGTGGGCTGAGGAGTGAGTACGCATGAGTGCTCCCATAGCAAGTGGCTTGCTATGGGGGCACTCAGCAGGGGAGGGGGCCAGGAGTGCCGGCAGGGGATCTCAGAAGAGGAGATCGGAGCTGCTCTGTGTAAAACTGGTGCAGGTAAGTATGGCATGTTTTGTTATTTTTTAAAAATAAAAGCCAAGCCTTTAATATCACCTTTAACTGATTCTGCCGACAAGGGATGAGTTAATGTTGTGTGTTTTCATTTTACCTAATTTCCCAAAACATCAAACCTTTTTAAGCATGTAGTAGCATGAAAAGGTGTCAAGAGTGTCTGAATAAGAGCGTGAGACTCTCATTCAGGAAAAAAGGGGTGAATTTTGAGTTCGCTTATTTCACCCACCATCACATACCGCCATCCTCACTAGGACCACAAGAGACAAGGAACTGGAAATTGTGGAGGACTGGAGACATTGCAGTACTTACATTTAAGGTTTCCTCTGCTGTGATGGTAAATGGAGCCAGAATATTGAAGGTTGTCCCAGACACCTGTGGTGATGAAAAGACAGGCGTAAACACACTGTTTTATATGATAACGGTCTTGTCGGTATGGTCACTGCAAATTAAAGACATGATTTACACATAAAGCCTCCAATACCAACACACAAATAGACCAATTTTAGTTTCTCTTGTTTTGTTTCTGTTTTTCACTATGTACAAACAATCTTTGCTTTATAAATATTTAATACAAGACAAAGGTTTCCCAGAGCTCCTGCAATACATATTGGGAAGCTTTACTAATACTGGAGCACTCAGAATTTGGTGCAGCTGTGCATGGTAGCCAATCAGCTTCTAACTTCAACTTGTTCAATTAGGCTTTGGAAAAAAAACCTGGAAGCAGATTGGTTTCTATGCAGAATTGCACCAGATTTTGCACTCTTCAGTTTTAGTAAATAACCCTCTTAGCGGTCAGTGGGAGGACCAACACAACATGTGGCAGGGGAGCAGGTTTTTGACACATCCGGAAGTGTTGATACCTGCTGCGACGAGAGATCAGCAACAGGACAGAGATTTAAAGTGTTATTAAACGCTTTGTAAAAAGTATAAAGTATTTATCAGATGGAAAAGCATGGTGATCCTCCATCCCAACAGCTCAGGTTGAACATGACATGGTATCAAATCTAGGAAAAAATGTCTGTAATACTCAACAACACATCTTGCAAAGTTGAATGGATATGACCCCAGTCAAAGCTTTTGATAGGCCCTTGCTACTCCTGTCACTTGGTCAAATGGAATAGCTTGCTACAATTCTAAAAGACTATTGAACAGAGCTCATCCCCTCGCTTTCCCCCTCCCTCCAATCATTCTGTGTATATTTCTATTTGTACTCTTTGTTTGTGCTTGAATTCAAATTTTCAGTGCTTAATTTCTGCATTGTTTTTTGTTTTGCAACGTATACCCACAGAATAAATAAATAAAGAGATGTTGCTCTGTACGAGACCCAACTGTGGGAAGTCTTATGAGCAATACCACCCTTTATGCTTTGACTGTCCAAAACACTGCTATCTGTGGCTCATATGGATGCCTCTCGTTCATCGCGCTTTCTTTTAGTTAATCGCTATAAATGCGATCCTTAACAGGACAGCAAATATTGCCCAACTGCATTTTTGAGTAAGTGGGACAGCTACAGTTGCAAGAAAAAGTATGTGAACCCCTTGGGATTACATGGAGTTTTGCATGAATTGGGCATAAAATGTGCTCTGAACGTCATCTAAGTCACAACAATAGAAGAACACAGTCTGCTGAACATAATACTACACAAACATTAGATGTTGCCATGGTTTAATTGCACATAACATGTAAACATTCACAGTGCAGGGAGGAAAAAGTATGTGAACCTTTGGACTTAATAACTGGTTGACCCTCCTTTAACAGCAATAACCTCAACCAAATGTTTCCTGTAGTTGCAGATCAGACCCGCACAACGATCTGGAGTCATTTTGGACCACTCCTCTTCACAAAACTGTTTCAGTGTAGCAATATTCTTGGGATGTCTGGTGTGAATCGCTCTCTTAAGGTCATGCCACAGCATTTCAATCGGGTTGAGGTCAGGACTCTGACTGGGCCACTCCAGAAGGCGTATTCTGTGCTGTTGCAGCCATTGTTTTGTTGAATTACTTGTATGCTTTGGGTCATTGTCCTGTTGCATCATCCATCCTCTGCGGAGCTTCAGTTGGCGAACAGATGGTCGTACGTTTTCCTGCAAAATGTCTTGATAAACTCTGGAATTCATTTTCCCATCAATGACAACAATCCGTCCAGGCCCTGAGGCAGCAAAGCAGCCCCAAACCATGATGCTCCCTCCGACATGTTTTACAGTGGGGATGAGGTTTTGATGTTGGTGTGCTGTGCCTTTTTTTCTCCACACATAGTGTTGTGTGTTCTTCCCAAACAACTCAATCTTGGTTTCATCTGTCCACGGTATATTTTGCCAGTAGTGCTGTGGAACATCCAGGTGCCCTTTTGCAAACTTCAAACGCGCTGCAATATTCTTTTTGGACAGCAATGGCTTCCTCCGTGGTGTCCTCCCATGTACTCCATTCTTGTTTAATGTTTTCCTTATTGTAGATGTGTCAACAAAAATGTTAGCATGTGCCAGAGATTTCTGTAGGTCTTTAGCTGACACTCTGGGATTCTTCTTTACCTCATGCAGCATTCTGCGCTGTGCTCTTGCAGTCATTTTTACAGGACGACCATGCCTAGGGAGAGTAGCAACAGTACTAAACTTTCTCCATTTGTAGACAGTCTGTCTTACCGTGGACACATGAACATCAAGGCTTTTGGAGATACTTTTGTAACCCTTTCCAGCTTCATGCAAGTCAACAATTCTTGATCATAGGTCTTCTGAGAGCTCTTTTCTGCGAGGCATGGCTCACATCAGACAGTGCTTCTTGAAACCAGTAAACCCAAAACAGGTGTGTGTTTTTTAAGGGCAGGACAGCTGTCAGCAACACATCCAATATCATCACACTGATTGGAGTCAAGGTTGGCTCACTCCTGGCTCCAATTAGCTCTGGGAGAAGTCATTAAGCTAGGGCCTCACATACTTTTTCCTCCCTGCACTGTGAATGTTTACATGTTATGTGCATTTAAACCATGGCAACATCTAATGTTTGTGTTGTATTATGTTCAGCAGACTGTGTTCTTCTATTGTTGTGACTTAGATGACGTTCAGAGCACATTTTATGCCCAATTCATGCAAAACTCCACGTAATCCCAAGGGGTTCACATACGTTTTCTTGCAACTGTATGTATTCTCATGTAGCATTATTGAACCATGTTATCAGATGTAAAAACAAAAAGTCGTCAAACTGTATATGTTGTACATACGGATTATTTTCAAAAAAATTTACTGAAACAGAAAAAGTATATGTAGCAGCATATCTCCTGCACTTCTACTGCAGCACAATCTAGAAACAAAATCTATGCCCCTGGTATTTCTGCCTATAGACTGGCTATGCTTCCATGCCTGGTCCCTCTGGAGCCTCCCTGATGTATGCAATCCAGACCAGCACTATAAAGGTACCCACATTTACATGCACATTATAGGCTGGGTGTGGGCATGCATGAGGTCACCCAAGTTTCACAGTGGAGATTCATGTGTATTATTGGCCAGGCTCAGGGATGAAGGAGGCCATCTATTTGTTTCACAGTGGGCACCCACACACAGTAGAGCCTGGGAGCAAGGGATCACAAGACATGTAGCCATGAAGCAGGAGGTCAAGTGATGGAACTGTTCCCTGATCCAGAAGTTCAGGGGATTACTGCAAGATTAGAAATGGCTGCATACATTTTGAGTGGAGTGAGCAAATGTCTTTGCAACTAAGAGAACAATGCTTTATACAGTGCAGGCTTACCACTACCTTAATACACGGGCCATCAGAAAGGTAAGTGTACATTTTCTTCTTTTACAGGGTGGCTTTAACTAAAGTAGGTGATCCTAACAAAAGGGTCAATGTAAAGTAAACTTGTCATAACATGAAAGTCTAATCAAACAGATGAAACTAGCAACATGCATAAAAAGCTGGCACCCTACAGACAACTCTACCCCATTCCCACCAGCCATCTGTAGATAAACTGTGATAGTCTTTTTTTTGGGGCACCACTTTAGAATTCAGCTCCCCTTCAACAGAATTTCCAAATATAAAATAATACAGCCCCTCTTGGTTTTGGAGCTTTGAGGTGCCCATAAAGACAATTTATGATACATTTAGGTAAATGTCTGCATTTCATTCTTGTTCCTAGATAAATCACTCAAATGCCAACAGGTTTACTTTAAGATCCTAATGTTGGTCATAAAACAAGCACACAGAGAGGTGTAAAAAAGAAAGGTGAGCAGATGCATTTGATGTATCAAAAAAGTTCATTTTGTAGATCTGCTTTCAGGGAAATGTGAATTTAGTAAACTGTACCCCCGAAGAATTCTGAAAGGTTAGCACAGCCGGTAGAACATATTTCAGTCCGTTCTTGGCTTCGCTTGTGTTCAGCGACGCCGTGTATGATACAAGGAAGGCATCTCCAGCTGTAAGAGAAAGAAATACACTGCTTATGTGACAATCCAGAGATGTAGGGGGAACTGAACCTAATAATTAAACTACATCTGAAAGTCTCACTTCTTCCTCACACTTCACAGACATTTATAAACAGAAAAAAAAGTTGCTAGCACAGGTTTAATTGGTGTCAAATTTGGCTTCACTGATGGTTTTTAATTAAAATTAGGGTGCAAATTCCCACAAAAGCAAGGCTCTCCTAACCCTTTGTCTTGCATTGTATTGTAACTGTACCATCTCCATTTATATTGTAAAGAGCTGTGCAAACTGTTGGTGCTATATAAATACATAATAATAATAAAAATATAATTAATTTTCCATTTTAAAACTAACTTTCCTGGTCGCGGACTCTCTGGCTTCAATACATCAAGGGTCACTTACTAAATCTGTCACAAAGCAAGGCAATTCTAAATAAGATCAGTAAGACAGATTGTGCAACATATTTACTACAAGGCTGCAGCTCAAGTCATAAATTCCTCTCTCAAATAATCTAAGGTAGCATGGCGACAGGCTAAAACCTGACCCTGACCACTACTTACTGTGCATCTGTTTAGAATTAAAATCGGTCTCATCTACACTGATAAATCTGCCACAGTTGGCTTCCCCGAATAACAGGCACAAAGGTCGAACAGTACAACCGCAAATACACTTTGCATAGTCCCTATGGATACATGCACTTCATCAGAAACAAAATATTAATTTGATGTTAATTGTATGTACATTTTTAATAACAAAATAATGTAAAATAGAAAAAAAAAACCATTAATTTTCCAGTTTTGGCAGCCTAGTGTTGGATATTATTTATGCTTCTATTTTCTGTATCTACTACTATGTAAATCTTACTCTTAAAACAATAAAAATAAAAGACATTGCTAAACAAGAGGCACCTGATTTGCATCTAATTGTCTTGCTATTTTGTTTAATAAATGTCCCTCATCCTAGCTTCCTGACCCCAAAAAAAAAAAATCCAGATCAGGGAAGTCCTTATTAACATATCCTTTCCAAGTCAGTGGGGTTGATTTACTAAAGGCAAACAGACTGTGTGCTTTGCAACCACAGTTGGGCTCTGTTTACCCAGAGCTTTGTAAATGTGGTGAAACTTCACCACATTCATTAAGCTCTGCAGAAAATGAATGCAACTACACTTGCAAAGTGCACAGTCTATTTGCCTTTAGTAAATCAACCCCCTTGACTCAAAAAGGGGAGATTTACGAAAAACAGGTGCAGCTGTGCATAGTAACCAATCAGCTTCTAACTTCAGCTTGTTTAATTAAGCTTTGGCAAGAAGGCCCCTTTCACACGGGCGGACTGATCAAGTCTGCCTTTCCATTTTTCAGGCAGACCTGATCAGACCATCCATTGCTCTCTATGTAAACAGACATGTCTCCGTTTACACCTGCCTGCATCCGATCAGATCCGATAAAAACAGATGGATGGGGTATCCGTTCCCCATCTGTCTAGTGGATCGGGTGACAGTCGGATGTAAACAAACAGGTGGTCCATTTACTTCCGACCCCCACATAGAGAACTGGGGGCTGTGTTCATGTCAGCTCTGCACAAGCGGAGGGGACACAGACCTGTCATCAGCCGGGATCAGCAGACAGATCCCCCCACTGAGCAGGTGGATCCGCTTGGTGGAGTCCACCCGTGTGAAAGGGGCCTTAAACCTAGAAGCTAATTGGTTACTATTCACAGTTGCAGCAGGTTCTGTGTGCACCAGTTTTAGTAAATCCCCCCAAAAGCACTAAAATCAGAGGCTCAGCATAACAGCTAAGCCACTAGCATGTGCTGACAGGTCTCCTTTAAATCTGAACACCAGGCAGAAACCATTAAAGCTCAATTTCAGACTAAACATACATTTTAGGCCTCGTTCATACAGCATATTTGAGTGTACACCTACTTGAGGACCGTGTTTTCCCTGCACAGGTTTTCCATACATCCACATGCAGGCAAGTCCCATTGATCTCAATTGGGAAGAAGCAGCTGCATGGATACAGCTGCGGCTCCCAATTTGACATCCCTGTGGGTGCAGGTCCCCATATGCACATTGTCTGCTTTCAGAGACCCACACTCGCATGCCCCCGCACCCATACGGATGTCAAATTGGGAGCAGTGGTTGTGTCCTTGCAGCTGCTGCATCTCAATTGGCATGAATGGGATTGCCTGCATATGGATGCACTAAATACCTGTGCATCCCATGCAAGCAAAATAAGGCCATCACATGGATGTACACTTTAAGTATGCCCATGTGAATGGGGCCTTAGTTTTGCAAAACATCAGTAAGGCCCCATGTGCACGGGACACTTCTGAACGATGGAAACTGACTGCTGCAAAACGCAGGTTAAAAACGTCTGTTTAGTCACATTTGTATAACGCATTTATGTGTGTTTGCGTTTAGAAGCATTTTTTAAAGATAAGTACAGGAGAACATCCCAAATGCCCAGAATGCACTGAAAAGTGGTAAATTATTTACTATTTCAGACCGTTTCAGAGAAATACAGAGTAGAAGCAGAGAGAGCAGTATGTGTTGAGATTAGCTTAGGTGTGAGTTGCTCATTAACATTTCTTTTGTTTCCAAGGGTGGGAAAGGTGTCTGCTGGAGTGAGTCATTAAAGCCAACTGGCAGTGGGTCTGCATGAGGAATTTGAGGTGTGAATGGTCATTAACATATCTTTTGTTTCCAAGGGTGGGAAAGGTCTGAGGTGTGAATTGGTCATTAAAATGTGTGACAAGCTTGGTAGGAACATCCTGTGTTCAGCATTTTGTCCATCTGAGTACCTTGATAACGCTTTGCATGCATTTTCATCATGAAAAAAGGCTCTGGACAGCATCGGGAAGAGTTAAAAAAAAATTTCAGCCGCAAACGCTTATAAACATGATTTGCTGCGTTTACAAGCATTTTTGCGTTTGAAATGCTGATAAAATCGACTGCTGAATGCAAGTTTTCTGTGTTCAAAAAAATGACTGTAAACTCAAATGCCTGTAAACTACTGTAAACGAAGATGTGTACATGGACACATAGGAAAACATTAGGGTGAGTTCAGGGGCTGCTGATAAAAATTCTGAACAGCTTCTACACGTGAGTTGCAGTGTACATGAGCCCTAAGTGTTACAGCATTTTCCAGGGGGCAGAAATAGCACTAAAGTCCCAACAGAGGTTCCAAGTCTTGTTTTTTTGCTGTGTCTGTTAGAATGATTGCCCCTCATTTTCTGCTCACCTGGACACAGATGAAATAAACAAGACGTAGATAGATTGTAGCTTACTTTCTGTTCTGTCTGATACCCATCAAACACAAATATGTAAACATCTCCCCAAACAAGTATATATATATATATATATATATATATATATATATATTCACCATTACACCATGAAATCATCCAATATCATCCGAAAGGTTCGCTGAAGTATGATCACATCACAAAGGACAAAGTTTCGGAGCCATGCAGGGCACCTTCGTCAGACATGTCTGACAAAGGGGCCCTGTATAGCTTTGAAACATTGCACGTTGTCCTTTGTGATGTAATCATTCTTCAGTATAGCTTTTGCACGATGTTGGATGATCCGTGGTGTGCTGGTGAATATGCGTTGACCTATGAGGTCTCCAATCTCTAGCTAGCAACCACTGCAGCACCTGCTACTTCTGAGCCTTTTCCAGGAACATGTGCCATGGGAATATTAACAATATCTCCCAAACATTGGTACAGGCAACAATAAAGAGTTGTTCCTTACTTTATCTGCTGGAGGAGAAAGAAAAAATAATACTGAAATATGTGCTAGAATGGCAGGAGTTCTGGGGGTAAATTTAGGTCATGTCTGGACATACACATTAACATACAACTAAAGGCAAAACTTTTTTTTTCCTTTTGGATACAGTAAAGGACAGTTCTATCCCCTGTCAGATTTTTTTGCCCTCGGTGTCCCATTGAGGAGATTTTTCCTTACTTCCTGTCCCATAACCAAAACAGGAAGTGAGCAGAAATCCCTCCAAATTGAGGGATACCCTGGTTGTCACCAGGGTCACCAGATATAGTGTCTTCACTATAGTAAGATTTCCCATCTATTCCTGTTCGTATAACAATCCAAAATTTGGAATTTTCTTTCAAAGTTTTACTTTTAGTCATACTGTAATGTAAGATCACTGAGCAACAGTGAGCTGTTCTCAAAGGTGTTCGTCCTTGACCAAGTGCTTCCTTTTCAGATTACCCAAGTCATATCTAATATGCTAAGATGATGGGGTTAATTTACTAAAACTGGAGAGTGCAAAATCTGAGGGTATGGTAGCAAATCAGCTTCTAACTTCTAAAAATTGGAAGCAGATTGGTTTCTATGCAGAGCAGCACCAGATTTTGCACTCCACTCTCCAGTTTTGGTAAAAATTTTCAGTCTTTTTTAGTTTGTTTGTCTCAAAAAAATGATAAATATTTTGTTTGGGTACAGTGTTGCATGACCACGCAATTGTCATTCAAAGTGCGACAGTGCTGAAAGCTAAAATTGGCCTGGGCAGGAAGGGGGTAAAAGTGCCCGGTAGGCAAGTGGTTAAAAAAAATATTTATTTTCCATAAAGTACACTTATCCAGCACCACCTTATCTAATTCCTCTAGAGAACACTGCAGGGTAGCTAGACTACGTTCTACCTCGTCTAGTATTCAATATACAACTGTCTTATCCTACATTAGGCAATTACTGCAATAATTGCGCAGAGAACAAAGTAGTGTGATTATGCCTGTGTGCTGCGTACATGTTGGAAAGTCTATAAATTGCTGCCTTCTTTCACATCAGTGATATAGATTCAAGAATTCATGGAAAGCTTCTGTTTTGACTTGTAGGAAATGAATCTTCTATTGTGGACACGACTTCTACCTACGCTTAGCGTCAGCTGTGGCATATGGCGTGTTCAAAGCTCTACGCTGATGTGTGACAAGAATTCTAAAGTTTAGTCTGCAAAATACTATTACAGCTTTACCTGCAAGAGATTCTTTTCTGAAAATCTGCATTCCGGCAATCGAACTGCTGCTGTTATAGCTGGAGTGCTGGATGAGCAGGCTGGTGATGTTATCTGAAAGACTGAGACTGGACAGGTTCATTGCTGATGATGACACCCCAGTGTTGTTTGTGAGCAATGTGATGGAAGCAGTCTTCTGGTCACTTATCTGGAAGGAAAAGCAAATAATGAGAGACAGTCAGTCAACAGTAAGTGGTTTCAAACATGCATGGGACAAACATAGATCTAGGTTAACAAAGTTAACGGAAAAGAAAAAAAAAGACATAAAAAAAAATAGGCAGACTCAGTAGATCACTTTTTTTCTGCTGTCACTTTTCTACATTTCTACGTTCTATAGCCATCCTCAGATAGCAGCTGTGAAAACTCTGTGTTGCCAAAAAGAATTACAGGTGTTTTTTTTGCCCTGAGGAGCATTTTTATCCTATTCAAAATGAATGGGCTGCCTTAAGCAAAGTATGTTACTGCAACGAATGTGAGAATGGGTTCTTACTGCCTAACAATATTTAAAAAAAAATATTTATATATCCTTAAAAAGGATATAGCAAATAAAAAAAATATTATAACATATACAATTACTGCAGAAGTCATGTAATAATGTAACGTTTTTGAAAATACCTTTCCTTTTCAATCTAAAGCGCTATATTTTTCTGTACAATTCAAATCATCATGGCACCCTGGAGGTATTCTGTTCATTGATGATGTACATAATGCCCAAGAACAGTAATTTCCTGCGTGTGTGTGTTTAGCTTACTGATTTTCACAGAAATCTACACTAAGAAACAAGCCACATTTTAGGCACCCCCTGCAATAGGAATTTTAGTTCTGATGAGATATACTCCCCAATGATTAAATAATTCTAAAGGGATGCAGACCCTGCAGCTTTCCTTATTAAAACACTGAGAGTGCACCAAGTGATTATATTGAACCAGACTAATTCAGCGTCAGTCTGACAAGGATGTTGTAACAGAACCGACCCAGACTGCGATTGAGTACTTCCATTAGACTACCGCTTCCCCGTCAGAACACCGACAACAGACACCACAGCCAACTATGCAAGACTAGACGACACCAGTCTTGAAGTAATCCAAAGGTAAAACTACTTTATTTGAACACAGATACAAGATATATACACTCAAGGGGCAATCCCCCCTCCCTGCATAATGACACAGAGTGGGGCAATCTACATTTAGTAACAAGAGACACACAGGTATTCAAACTTCTCACCAGCAGACAGTCCCATCAGGAGGGAGGGCTGCTGGAGACACCCCCCCCCCCCCACTAAGCTAATAGACATAAACACATACATCCCATAATAGTTTGCTCCCAAGCCAGACAGACAATAGAACAATGGGATGCAGCCACATGACATTAAACAATCAACAACCCCCCACCCCAATATTAGGACAGATCACTCTGTACCCCTAACAGGCACAGGGTGATTTACATATAAGAGGGATATGGGGAGCTGAGACAGGGGTCTCTCCACCTCTCCAAGGTGAGCTGCCCCCCCCCCCCCCCCCCACCCAAAGTGACTCCAGTCACAGATATGTTGAAATAAACAGCTATTTATTTGGGTCAACAAAAGGTAGGAATCTGCTACAATGTTTGCTAAAATCCCTGCAATGTACATTGATTGCTGAGAGCGGATTGTTTTTTTTTCTCAAAGTGAAGTTATTTTCAAGCCTGGTACACACTACAAGTTTTTTTTTATTCAACCCAGCAGCTTAAAAAGGAAAAAATCTGACAGATCGCCATACCAACACAAGTGATGTTGGTGCGGCAATCTCTCCCATTGTGCCCGCCAGAATACACTGATCATCGCTTAAAGCCATTGGCTGCAAGAGCTGATCGGATGCTGGTTTCCCAGCATGTCCCTTCGACAAAAGCCACTCGTTAGACCGGCTTCTGTTGGACAGACTGCTGTACACACTGACAAAGTCCACAGGAACCATCTGATTTTCAGACAGTGTGTACACAGCTGTAAAATGTCCATAGCCCTGCTGCAGGTTGACTTGAATCCATTTAGTAAATAAGGGCCATAAGGACTGAGGATGTCCTGTATAAGATTGTGTATCACTTAATGTACTGAAAGCTGGAAAAAGATGTAATAGGGTATATATAGTAACCGCATTGCTTCTCAATTTAAACACAAAATGATGCTTTTTGATTAGCCCACAGACTTTTAACATGTGGCTGCAGTTGTGAAAATTTTCACTTTTGAAGTGAGTTGGCACAGACTGTGTGATGTGAATGCAAAAACACTCCATTTTATTTGATGGTGTATCTGTTAACAGCTAATGGGAGGTATAAAAATAACCTTGGAACACAAATGGTCTCTTGCATGATGATGACTTAATCAAAGGTGTTCAGATGCATCAGCAGTAAGTGAAGAAGACAAATTAACAGTGACATGTAATCAGTTTTGAATTGTACAGGCTGTGTGTAGATGTCAGTGTAACAGAGAGCAGAGGCCCAAAATACACAAAAATGTTTGTGCATTAAAGAGGACCTGTCACCATTAAATATATATTTTTATTTGTAAGATGCAAGTTATGAAAGATACTAATATTGCTTATTTTCTGAATAGCTGATTTTTTTTTACAATTAATGTTTCACAGAAATAGTTGCAAACAGCCTGGCCTATAGCACTGTTTTTCAAACAATGCCATATGTACCTTCAGGGCTATATAGCTTCAACTATGAAGAAAAAAGCAACCGAATGCCTGAGCTCCTGCGTGGACAGTGGACTCCACAATGTTAGTATCCCCACATGTGTATGGAAGGAATGCAAGCTGTGCTGCCCTCAACGGACCAGGGAAATCTAGATAGAACTGTAAGAGGGCGCATGGACCTAGTACATTACCTTTAAAAACGGAATTTATTGATAAAAAGTAAAATACTGACAAAGAAATAAAATCAAATGGAGAGTATGTCACAAGAAATGCAGCGTGGTCCAATCACCCTGAAGGTGGTCTGGTGGGGAACTGTAGACCTCTAGGTAGCTGATGGCTGACGTGTTTCGAGGCTGTGCCTCTTTTGTGGCTCAGTTTTTAATGGGTAAGGTAATACACTAGGCCAGTGCGCCTTCTTTTTGGCTTTTCCTATATAGCTTCACGCTGAACTCCAAGCAAACAGCTAAATACATACGGTAGGTAAAATACATATATTGTTGCTGTTAAACTGATTTGCATTTGTCTATACAGTCCTGATATTTACACTTTTGCCACACAGTACAGCCCTGCCTGGCAGTAGAGGAGACCAAAACTTTGCTGCAGTTTTACTTTTACTTATCGCTTTGTGGTGTGTCACCTTTCACAGCAAGCTAGTGCGTTTCTTAACATTAGTGTTGCTACACATTAGTGTGTTGATTCTGCTTTTGCTGTGACTCCAAAGAAAGAAGAAGCAACACACTAAGTTCATCTCTATGCCGCTCTGCTCCCTCCTCCTATCTGCATGCTCCTTGCACTGCATGACACCTGAATGGCACCTTGTGCTGCTTCTCAGAAATTGATAGGAGGCCAGACTCAGGTACTTACACTGCTTCCATTTTAAAAACACATACAAGGATTTATTATTGAATACATTATCCCCTGTGGCACTTTTGTCCCTTCAGAATATACATACATTGATGACAGATAAGTAATTTGAGCTAGGCTTGTTACAGATGAGGATCATTCAGAGATGCAATAGTCCCTATTCAACTTGCACAGCTGTTAAAGTGACCTTTGGCATTCCTTATGCTACTTTATCTAACAGTACACATCACAGTTCTCTAGCAATCCCTAGACAGCAGCTGTGAAAAATTCACTTTACTTTCAGAAATCATCTGTGCATAGCTGAAGGGTAAAGTCTGCCTGGATACATGGCACCATCCTTCCATTCCCAGTTGGTGAAGTGTAATATTTTTTTCTATTAGCGGACAACACTATATAAATAAATAACTATATAAAAGCCTATATAAACAAACAAACCCCCCAAATCTCTTTTTTATTCTATATCCTCTCCCGTCCTACAACCCCTTAATATTGGTTCTATAGCCACTGCTGTTCTCTACACCTAAATAGTGTGTCTATATCCCCTGCCATCCTACACACCCAATTATTGTGTCCATACCCTTACCCATCCTTCACACTTCTTGCTGCTGTTGCTTTCATACCCGCTTCTATCCATCACACTTTATTGCCATTTCCATACCCTCCATCATCCTACATACCTCAATGTTAGTTCTACACCTTCTCCTGTCCTGCACACTTCTTTGTTCCATAACTGCTCCCATTCTCCACAGCCCATTGTTGGTTCAATACCCTCTCCTGTCTTCCACAGCTCATGGTTGGTTTAATACCCTCTCCTGTCCACCACAGTTAATTGTTTGTTCAATATCCCCTCCTGTTCTACACAGCTCATTGTTGTCTCAATACCCTTGCCTGTCCTGCACAGCTCATATCCTCATTATACATCCTCGTCCATCTTCAAATCTCATTGTGTTTCCATACCCTCTCCTGTCCTGCACATCTTATTGTGGTTCCATACCCTCTCCTGTCCTCCACATCTTATTGTGGTACCATACCCTCTCTTGTCCTGCACATCTTATTGTGGTTCCATACCCTCTCCTGTCCTCCACATCTTATTGTGGTACCATACCCTCTCCTGTCCTGCACATCTTATTGTGGTTCCATACCCTCTCCTGTCCTCCACATCTTATTGTGGTTCCATACCCTCTCCTGTCCTCCACATCTTATTGTGGTTCCATACCCTCTCCTGTCCTACACATCTCATTGTTGTTCTATAACCAATCTTGCCTTCCACATCTCTTTGTGGGTCCATACCCTCTATCCTCCACATCTCGTTGTGATTCCATTACCTCTCTGTCCTCCACAGCTCACTGGGGGTTCAATAGATTCTACTGTCCTCCACAGTTCATTGTTGTTTCCATACCCTCGCCTGTCCTCCACAGCTCTTTGTTGGTTAAATGCCATCTCCTATCCTCCATAACTTTTTGTTGGTTCCATACCCTCTCCTGTCCTCCACAGCTCATTGTTGGTTCCATACCCTCTCCTGTCCTCCACAGATCTTTGTTGGTTTCATACCTTTTCCTATCCATTCACACCTGCCTTCTGGTTTCATATCCTCTCCCATCCTAGACACCTC